ACAAGTTTCTTCCCGACACTGCCAAGCTGGATCGAAGTAGCAGCTAGCAGGTGGTGATTCCTAGCCATGGTGGTGGTTCTATGCCCGATTTGTTTGGGGGCAAACGTGGGTGGGTGGTCTATGGGACCAAATCGGAATACAGTTACGTTGATAGTTTCTATTGACGTTGAGGACCAACCGACCCCATTCCTTTGGTTTCTTGGTGTATCTAAGGCCTACCCAGTCAGTGGATAACCTTGAACTGTTTTTGATCGTTTTTGGGAATTGGTTTCCCCAGTAAACACAAACAGGTGCAAGAAGGTTAGCCTTATTTTCCAGTGAAACTGAGGGAGACATGCATACATCTATATAATATATATACTTGTAAATTTAGCAAACCATTGGCTCCAAAGACTCAAATCACATGCCCACCAAAACGCTTGTTCCCCAACTGAGGTTGCCGGACTTGATTTCTGGCACAGCCATGCACGGCCGGCAGGGGGATTCACCAGCAGCAGCGCACGAGTCCGGCGTCAACGCGCCAGGCTGCAGGAACGGTACCAGCCGGAGTGCTACACGGAATTCTTTCAGGCACGATGTGCACCGCAGTGTTTTGGGTCCATCCAAGATGGTCCAAGGTACATGATGAGCACTCTTTGGTGTGTTTTGTTGTGCAAATAGATGCCACGAGACCAATCACAAACAGCAGGGAATCACATATTAAGTCTTGACATGCTTCAACACACTCTGGGAGCGAGCCCGACTGCATCAGTTTGATTAAGGTCACCAAGTGAATTCTATGTTGAATCCATGGATTCATATCGAATCTTGGGATATTCCCTCGCATTGCAGAATTCTCAGCGCCACTGGCAGGTGTCGCCCTTTGGCCCGGGCATCGGGAGCGACGCGGCGGGCTTCGTCCCCGAGGACGGGCAGCGGACCTGGGATGCTGAAAGGGGGGGCGGGAAGAGCGCGGACGAAGGCAGGGCCCACAAAGGAGTCATTAAGCTTGAAGATTTCACATCAACCACGAAAGATTTGTCGCCCGTGATGTAACAAACGAACTTTGAAGCAGTAACTAGCCAAAACCTGCCATAACTAGCCTTCGTTTTTTGGCCATAATCAGCTCGCAGCACACCAGGATGCCTTGGGAGCCTTTGATGTACGATATAGTTTGGCGCGGGCACCAAGATGGACACACGGTCCAGATTCACCCGAAAGAAGCTCGTAACTCCACACCGGAGAAATCGTTGTCGGAAGATGCGAGTGGAATCTTGGTTTTTGGGTTGAACCTTGGAGTTGGGTCATGATATGAGAGATATGAGAGCCACGTTCGTAGCGTCCGATCGCTCCTAATAGCGATGCCAGGAGCCCCTAGTAGCTTCTTGTTCCTAGTAGTATTATAAGGAGAGGACGCATCTTCTTTGCAACACTTGATGGGTGCAGTGATATGACTGACTCTGACTGGCAAGGCATTGCAATCACTTCAAGTAGATTCTCAGTAGAAGCCAATTCCTTGCGCAGTTTTTCAATTTTTCCCCGTAAATCTAGTAGGGATAGAGATAGAGTCAGATAGAGATAGAGGATCTAGAATGAGCTCCATGTCTCCATTCTTGGTTGGTTTCTCCCATTTCTAGAGCTCCGACCCGTCTCCGACCGCCCTGCCACGCTTTGATTTTTGCGTGCGTTCCCAGCGCGAAAAGGGCACGCCCTTCCGGGAGATCCTCGAGAACTTCGAGTATATGCTGAAGGTGGGGCAGGGCAGCGGATCTTTGATCTTTGCAGAAGACCATGTAAACCCATTTGCAAAAGCATCTTAAATGGATGCACCAAACTTCAAGAACCATGAAAATTCACAACCCCCCTGTGGAGTTTTGGGTACGTGGATCCATCGAATCCAGCAGCCTGTCTTCGGCCTGATGAAGCGCTTGTCGGTTCCAGGAGCACCACTGGCTGGGCGAAGCCTCGGAATCCTTGCGGGTCCAGGCGGCCATGGTCCATGGCGAGGCCGGTCGAGTTCGTCGCCTCGGTGAGAGCTGAATTGACGCCCGAGGTTGAGACACAAAGACGAGATATGAGCATGAATTTTGGGGACTATTGCTGTTGCTCGAGCCCAACAATTCAATGCTTGAGATGTGCTGACACAGCGATTGAATCAGAGCAGCGCTTTTGCAGGCGACGCCTCCATTTTTTGTCATGTTCGAGGCCAGGAATCGCCGGATCGCTTCGAGATTGGCGGTTGTTGGGGTGGCCCTCATGCCAGAGGTTCCATTTGGTTTGACTAGCAGGTTCTCCATAGAGAGAGAGAGAGAGCGAGAGACAACATGTGTTTTGTTTTCATACTAGTCCCTGGATGTCCCTGGTTTTGCTGTGGCAGGGTGCTTTGGCTCGCGTTCCAGATCACCCACTTGGATGGCAGAAAACGGGCAGCCCGGGACGGTTTCGCTGGGCAGGTCCGCTTCGATTTCAAGCGCAGCGGCTACGTACGGAGCCCAGCAGATTGAAGTCCACTCGCCCCGAAGACTCGGATGAGCATGAAGCGTCGATGTAGAAAACCCAAGGGATTGTGGCAGCATGGTGTTTGCCAATGTTTTGTACGTCTGACAAGCTTCGGACCATGGATTGGGAGGGCTTACTACCTCAAAGACATCACAGACTTCAATGAATTTGAACTCAAAAACACGGGTTAAGGCCTCATTTGTGAGCAACATGTGTTATTTATTTATATTTATTATTACAAGTTTTTTTATGGCACTGTACTTCCTTACTTACCGCCCATGTGCATGCTGAGGTTGCCAAAGACTTGAACATTTTCCTCACCGCCACGGATATGTCTGGAGCCTTGCTGGCGTTCCTTTTTCTGGCCTTTCTGGTACTGTATCTAGATTCCCCCTAGAGTCTATAGTCTATAGTATATAGGTAGTATGGTAATGTTTTCTGGACAACCTTCAGTTTGTTTTGGAGCCATCCGCCCGTTCCGCAACCGATGCCCCAACCGGAAGGTTTGGGACCCTCGAAGTCGCGGCGCATCCCAGCGCTTTCATGGACGGTTTCTTCCAGTAGAACCCAAGCAACCAGCGACGGTTGGGAACCAAATGGTACAAACTAGACCGTTAAGGATTAGGATAATATTAGGATCCTTTAGGACTCTACAAGCAAGCCAGAGGTTCTACTGCCCAAGGACGCTACTAGGAGCAAAGGGCATCGCTACTAGGAGCAAGGACGCTACGATCGGGGGCTCCTGGCATTGCTACTAGGAGCATTCTTACTATAGGAACAAGGGACGCTCCGATGGTGTGTGTGAGGCTACCGGTGGTCTCCACCGGTCGACCCCCCGACGATGTCACGGCCCCAGGTTTCCCACCACTTTCGAAGTGGTTCTGCACATCCTGTGGGCCCGTGAGCCCGGAAGACGTGATGGCCATGTTTCTTTTGTTTTTTCTATGCTCGTGCGCTATCCATGGTGTTGGCCATTCCTTCTTGTGTTAGTTGGGTGCTTTGATACGTGACAATCGAAGAAGATAAGTGATGATAATAATGTTTTGTGACGTTTTCTGTGCAACAAAACAACGGTTGTTGTTGTCTATATGTATATGATTGTAGATTTTATATGTCTATGAGTCTATATACCTTGAATCACCTAAAATAGTTATATATTACAAATATTGTATCTTATAGGCACGATTATATACTATATTGATATAATATTTAATTTGATTTAGACCTTAGATATGCCAGTTATGTCTACATTGAAACATCGGTAGGAACCATTATCTTTTATTGTTGGCGCCAGTATTGAGTGCTTGTCGTTCTCTATCGAGGCGATCATCCTCTTCAGCCTGCTGTTCACGCAGAGCTTCAAGGTGCCCCCCTGACCCGCCAGCGCCGTCCGCGCCGGTCAGCGCTGGTCAGCGCCGGTGACCGTGGAGTGCGGTGGCAGTTCGGTTAGATGCGGGCGATGTGTGTGGAGCAGGTAGCGGATTTTCTGTGGCAATTTGTTGGCCCGCTTGGAAGTCGGTGTTGTGTTGAAATGTTCTTTGTTGAAGGAAGTTGATGCATGCTTTTCAGTCAACATCGGACATGCGTGGAGCAGCTCCCTGAAGACTGGCAAAGTGTTCTTTCAAGGGAGGTGCTATGAGCTGCTAAGAATCTTCGAGTCACCTGAGAGATCTCTGTGGCATGAAGTACCCTCCATCCAAAGAATTGCCCATGGCCAACCATGCCCAACTTACTAAAAAACAGGTGTTTTGCTTGGATTCTAAGTTCTAGTAGGTACTTACTGATACCTGATACCTATATTGTAGTTTTCCCAAGATATCTTCAGATTCTGTTTGAGATTTTGTCAGACGTCGCTGTTGAACCCTTCCGATGCCATGCACGGAGAGTGCCAGGTTGCACGTAGGCTGTTAGGATGCGAAAGGTGAATGGTTGCGTTGCAGACAGAAATTACAAGTCTTTCAAGATCAGCCCATCTACAGTATGTAAAACTGGAGTTTGAAAGTGTGCAACCCCCAAACCGTTGAACTGTCACTTTGGCTCTTCTTGGCCCCTACCTTGGACGTGTATTTCTTGGTGACAGTCCTCTACGTCATGGTGGTGCCTTTAATCATTTCTGATCCTGCAAATGATACTTTCAGCTATACATCTTTGCAATGGTTTTGGACTGTTGGAATCAATAGATTCTCATGTCATTTCTACGTGCCCGTATGTTTGCCAACAAGCGCGAATATGGCTTGAGGAATGGAATTCGCAGGATTCGCAGCCCAACCACTCATGGAATTGACCAAATCATGGGGACACGGGGCACACACAAACACATTGGAGATAGTAGATCAGATCAGTCCAAGCTGTCCTTTGGAGTTGTATTACTGGTTTTCTGACATTTTCTGGGGAACTCCTTCGGGTGGGATTCGGCCATGAAGGCGGTTCCAGCTTGAACGTGTTGAAGCTCTTGTCTTCCAGTCTCAAAGCTTTCGGGAAAATTGCCCCACATGCTCAGAGAGGATAGTCGGATAGTCATATAATCCTGAACAGAATGGCCCGTTCCGCAAGTGACGATGCGATGGCGCCATTGGCTTCCTCTCACTGGCAGTATGAGCGTCTTGGATGTTTTGGCCTTTAGGCTGGGTTTAGATGGCAAGTGGAAGCCATTTCTGCTAAAAGGACCGCGTACCTCTAAGAGAGAACAGTGCCTTCAACATCAGTCCCCATCTTCAATATGTTCCCCATGTACTTTGGAGTGTTACTCTGGAAGAGCTCATTATTCAAGCTATGGTCATGCAACCTGTTTGCAACGGTTGTTGTGAAAGGAAGATGGGTGTGGTCAATATGTCCTGTCCGTTTGGTCATTTGGTTTCTGTGGCCTTCAAGCGAGGCCGGAGCCCAAGCGCAGCGCGCTGGGCTCCAGCTTTGCATGCTGCGCCATGCGTCAGAAGCCCAATGAGAAGGTTCTGATGCCACAGCCGCCAGGCACTGTGGAGGAGGACGGGGCATGACGCCAGCGAAGCTGACCGAGTTAATTGGCCTGAAGCACGGAAGTGAAACATGTGTCCTGATGTCAAAAACACTTTCGCGAAACGAATACGCATGTTTCAACACACATTCTTCACGAGTGTTTCCATCGATACTTGTTCCTCTCAGTCAGTTTAGGATGTGCAATGTCCAATTTAGGTCATTACTGCAGGCGCCACACTTGTTTTAAGCTGAACTCCTCCAGCACAGAACTTATGGTGTGCAGAGTGCACAGCTTGTAGGATTCTCTCTCTCAAGTGGCATGGCTATCGCATTGTGCTGCTGCGTAAAGCTTAGAACAGCTTTCGCATGAGGTTACAAGATATCCAAATTGAACGCATGGAGGTCCAGCGTTTGACTCACCAGAATGGCTAGGACCTGGTGTTTCTTCACAACTTCATCTTGTCCATTCACTTCGACAAATTGGGATGTTCAAACCATGACGCCAATTTTTCGCTGCCGTTGAATCGTTGGACATGTGAAGCAACAGGACGACAGCAACAGGAAGGTGATTTGGGACACTGCAGATTTGACGTGGTGGGACTTCCAGCGACGGCGATGGAAGACTCTGTGGTTTCTTTGAAGCAGAATAAGCAGTTTGAAGCACTATATACTCACTAAATGTCATAGCATCAAAAAACATGTGCAGGCTAGGCTGGTTTTTGGTGTGGTTTGTGATTTTGGAAGGTACTACTGTACATCATCAACCCCAACCGTGCGGTACAAGGGATTGGAGATGTGGATGAAATATGTTCTTCCAAAATGGTTCCCGATTGATTAGATCATTTCATATATATATATAAATTCCATCAAATTCCATTCAATTCATCAGGGGTCACAGGTCAGGTTTCACCAACAGTTGTGTTTGCACCTTGACTCCTTATATTATAACAATCATCCCTGCTGGAAAAGAAGCTTGAGGCTGATGCGAACGGTGTACTTCCGCTACAAAGGCGTTCAGGACGAGTCGTCTAACCATGTTTGGGGTATCGAGTATCGAGCGGTCCTGTGCCTTCCAGAAGCAGGTGGCCAGCTGTTGATGCAAGAAATGCAAAAGATGCTTCACGGGAAGCACCTTTCCCTTTAATCGACCAGATGCAACAAGTATGCTGGCAGCTGGCACCAAGCCCATGGGGACTGGTATGTTTAGATTTGCAGTGATTTGCTCATTCATACTTAGCAGTGGATTGGCCCGATATGTGCCTTGCTACAGGCATACCAAAAAGATGTACACACAATGACAAAACATCTTTTCTTTTTCGGCAAGATTGCCTTGCAGTCCATGATGAATAAGCAACTGAGCACACACTGTACCACTCCACTGCTCCACGGCAGGAGCGCACTGAGGGATTGCCCGAAGGTCCAGAGCGAGAGAAGCAGTGGGTTGAGTGTTGCTCGGCTCAAACACGTGGGCTCAACTGAAACGAGTTGGATGGTGTTGGGTGCAGTTTAACCTACGCAATTCAGCTTGTCGATGTGGTGTCTTGTTCAGATTTTGCGTCTTGTGTCCTGTACCAACTGATTGGAATGATACAGTGGGGGGCCTTTGGTTGATTGATAGATATTCGCCATCAATGAAGAAGTAGCAATGGACGGAGCATAAGTCTGTAGAGTATAGAACCTACTGTATGGGAAACTGCTACACACACATTGCCTCAACCATGGTCCTGATCCTCAAAGGTCTAGAGTCTAAATGACCATTATTGAATGAAATGATTCAAATTTATCGAACTGAATCAACTGCTAAGCTGCGAAGATTGCCGCAGACTCAATGATGACCAATGTGTAAAATTTTTAAAACACACCTCGCTCCAAGAGATCTTCTGAAAGGCAAAGATCTTGCACCCGTTTCCTGGAGAGCGGGATGAGGCTGTTTCGATGTGTGCATTCTGATTTTAGCTTCATGCATGGTATCTAGCCGTTGCCGGATGTGGACTTGTCTCGCAACGGATAGAACCCAGCAGAATGAAGCATAGAGTGGTTTGAGGCCACACAATTAGTGCCCGCGAGCTGCGCTTGCATGCGGAGGAGGCCAAGGGCCTTTTCATCAAAGCTGGGCAGGCCTGGCTTCCCAATGTGATGAAAGCAATGAGTCCTTTTCATGGTAATGAGTGGCCTGGCATACGGCCCTGGCCTTTTTTGAAAGTCCAAGCAAGTAGCGCGGGCATCTTCCATTGGAGGTTTGCTGGTGTTTAAAACATGTCCAAACAAACATGGCTACTGCATGCTACTGCCCAACAGCCTCCGACAAGTAATGGTAGTAGATTCTTGTAGTAGCAGTGCGAGTAGAGTAGAGGCAGTACTATAATATACATACTTTTTTGTGGATAGCCTGGTACTGTTTACCTGTCTTTCCTTGTCAGATACCTTTGGCAAACCTGGTAGGTCATGAGCGCGATGGTGGGCACCTTGCCCGACGCCTTCACCAACGAGTTCCTGTCGCTCACGGATCACCTGCCCGTGAGCCGTTTGGAGGAGGTCTACCGGATCATCCAGCGGACCTTCCAGAAGCCGCCCAAGGCGTTCAGAAGTTCCGACGGGCAGTGCGACTCCTTACTCCTTACAAGAAGACGGGGTGTTCGGGGGCAAGTCTTTGACCGAGCAAACCAGGGTGTACTTGAACATGGCACAAGAATATATGTGTAAAGTATTCAGGTGATTTCAGGTGTTTCAGGTGTTCGTCCTTTTGGGAGGGCTGTCGATGATAGCAGGTAAGAGGTGACTTGATCGCCAGCCAGCCACGTTCATGTCTCCATCTTCACCTCCCCAGCATCCTGCACATCGATGCCCAGTCACAACTTCACCTGCCCACCTCCACGATCCTCCATCCTCCACGGCTTGGCCAGCGGAATGCGCCAGCCCAGCGGCAGGTGATCTTCTCGGAGTTCGACCCCGAGCCCTTGGCCTCGGCCTCCATTGCGCAGGTGCACAAGGCCCGGCTCCGGTCCACAAACCAGATCGTGGCCGTGAAGGCGGGCCAGGATGGGAGGAGAATGACCGGAGGATGGGTGTGTGGGGGGGGGTCGTGTGAGTGTTGGGAAATACCTAAGTGCCCTAAGTGACTTCATGGTGATTGCCAGAGTGCTTTTCCTTTTCTTGGTTTGCCGCTTACTTTTCTGCATCTCGATGTTCACACGAGCAAGTGCTTCGACTTTTGACATCCGTGGTTGCACCACATTTGCATTCGCTGCGCCATGCTGCGCCTTTGTTCCTTTCGATTCGTAAAATGCATTACATAAACTGCCTTTTCTGGCAGCAGGCATATGTTTGACGATCATTTAACCTCAACTCCCTGACTCCCTAGACCAAGCTGAAGTAAGTCGAATCTGCATGTCACACTCAGGTCCAGCACGATGGTGTAGACCGAATCTTCCTGGAGGAGCTGCATATTGGCTGTGACAGCTCAATGAGTCGATCACTATAGTTAGAACAGTTATATTTGGGTCGGAAGCTTGAATTCTGAATGCACTTTCCAAGACCAAGCCACCCCGCACTAGTATATACTATGTAATACTGTAAGCCAGTGGGAATTGATGTGAGGATCATTTACTGTAGTTGCTGAGAAGTTCAACAAACACATCTCAGTTCAAATGTTTTGGTAGACATGACACAGACGCACACAGCACACACACCACTAGTTCACATTTTTCAAGACCTCATTTGACTATCTCCAGCTGGAAGATATATAGACATTTCAGAATTTTCGTAGAAGTTAGCCACAGAAGATAGACCTACTGGTAGTAGCTCGTACCTGGTCGTACCCGCTCTATCCGATAGCTCGCTTGGTCGTCGACGGCCGTGGCCGATGTCCAGGACATCGAGACCCTCACGGCCGTGGCCGAGCAGGTGAGGAGTCAAAGTGGAGCACGGTCGTGGCCGCAGCATGTTTTGCAGGAATCGTGTCAATCAATTTTAAAAGGATATAGATCCCCGTTCCGATTTCCTGTATGAAATGGGGTGTCTCAAGTCCACTACGTTGAGGTTTTTATGTAATATGTTGCAAAAGAAAGAGGTTGAGGCACCTCTTTTTGTAGAGATGAGGATTTTGTAGCGCAAGGCCTTGATGCTGAGATATAGAGGATGGGTCCCTGCAATTTTGTAGTGCAGATTTGTCATTTCAAGATGATTATATCCGATGTTGGGTACGTCCATAATGTAGTGCAAATTTCTGCAGCCATGTTGGTGACTCAAAATCGGATTCATACCATTTTGTAGTCAAAAACATTGACAACATAGAGGTTGGGTCCCACCACTTTTGTAGTGCAGATTTCCTGTTTCTTATATGATACTATCTATGTTGGGTCTAAGCATTTTGTAGAGAAGCAGGGTTGGGTCCTTGCAAAATATATAGTGCATGTAAATTTGTGATGTTGGGTCCCCAGTTCTGTTGTACTACAGAATGGGGGCCCCGACCCCACCACCCTAATTGGCAGGGGGATGGATATAGTATATAATATCATATATGTACATACAAGGTTTGTTTTGGAAGCTTGGAGCTCAGATTCAAAACGGGAATCCTATGGCCTGCTTTGTGGAAGACACCTATTTATGTGAACAGACCGGCTGTTAGAAGACAGAACTCTTTTCCGGAAATGCAGTTGCTCCTTATCTCAATGAAAGCAGATCGCGTTAGAGGTCCAAAATCCACCCCGCCAACGGTGGCTTCTCCTTCGCTTCGATTCGGGGTGGATGGGTTGGGAAAGAGCATATGTTCCCACTTAGTCGCATGGAAGGTGGAAAAACATGGAAAACCATTCGTTCATAAAAGAAAGAACGTCTTCCAAGGGGACTATGACATCCACTTCCATGCGATGTGTTCCGTCAGAGTGTATGTTCCTTTCGCCTTGTGCGGGATTCACATGATGTCAACATGTTGGTGGACCGGCTGAGTAGGTCTCTTACTGGGCACCGGATCTGGATTTCCGGAAGTTCGCGGAGGAGACTCCACTGTAGAGGGAGTGGCACTGGGCAGAAAGAAAGAGAGTGAGAGAGAGAGAGGCAAAAGAACAGAACAGAACCGAACAACAGAAAGAAAGGAAGGAAGGAAGAAAGAAAGAGACCAGTAGCACATTTGAATTCATGAATAGGCAGAATACTGGGGACATGGTTGCGTATGATCTATCAAGAAGGCAGGGGCGACAAGGGAAAAGCTGGTGACACAGGGAAGGCTGGTGGCAATTGCAACGGGGCCTGCCTTTGGTTCAGTATCCGGACTCCAACGAGGCCCCCTTTCCTAATGAAGCATATGAAGTCCTTGAGGCAGACCCAGCGCTTATTTGGACTGCACGAACGATCTCTTGATAGACCCAATATGATTGTGTCCGAACCGATCCAAACACATGTCCTCCTTTTCCAGGAGTGGCGAGAGTCCTTGCCGCGGGAGCTGGACTTTTGCCATGAGCACGATGCGCTGGAGCGCGCGGGCAAGAAGCTCCGCGAGGCCGCGCTGGAAAGAAGCTCCGGACGTTCGCTCGGGCGGGTTAGCTCGTCTGGGGAACCGTTGCTTCCGGGGAACCATTGTTCAGGACGTTGTCTTTAAGACCAATCCAGGACGTTTGGTGTGAGTGGAAGTAGTATATAGAGGAAGTTAGTTTCCTGAGGTACGCTGTTGGTTGGATCTGATGGGGAGAAAGCTCCCGCTTGGACCTCCAAGGGCCGACTGCAGGACCTCGAAACACAAGAAATTGCCCAGAGGATGCAACCAATTCGCCTAGAAAACAGTTTGCCACTGAAAGTCATGAAGCAGAATCACTGGCTACTACAATAGTTGTAAGTTGTAATCCTGAACTTGGCAAGCTAAGCCTCCTTACCCGGAAGATAACACTGATTTCTGGTGCATCCTTGCAGTAGATGTCCCTTTGCCAAGTGGTGCCGCCGCGCGCTGCTGATTAACATACTCAGTGAATCATTAATCATTGAATCCCTGCTTTAGTTGTCACCTGACCGGTCAATGATCCCGCCATTGGGGTGGGCTCGGACGTATGCTGAAATCCCCTTGCAAAAGGATATCAGGATGGAACCAACACGGAGGGGTCCACTGTGAGGCTGGGAACTGCTGCATCGTGCCGGAGGTCCACCATGAGCTTTGTGGTGCCTTGGTCTCGGGGAATCGATCTGGACTTCGGCACTCGGGGAATCGATCAGACTTCGGGTGAGGTGATTTGCAGTGGAAAGGTCGGTCCAAGTTGGTGGCAGGTGGCGAACGGCGCTTTTGGGCTTTCTTAGGTGCTATCCTCTGGACTTGTTGGCCAAAAGCAATGGTCTCAACATTTGAGCCAAGTGTTCCCGTAATTTTCCCTGTTTGGCCGGTTGTTGCATCCCTTCAAGGCTCTTGGCTCAAATCCCAAGTCAGAGGTTTGGCCAAATAGGGCGGGGCAGATTAGCCAAAGACAGTCTGTGAGATTTGAGCTAACAGTTGTAAACAGCGACGCCGAACAAACGCGCCGAACCAACGCGCGCCACGAACGAGGTGCACATGTCTTTGTCATGGAGTTCATTGATGCTGGGCCGATCTTAGATTTGGGCAAGGCTTGGCGGGCCGGATCGCAGAATCTTTGAGGTGGTTCCATGGCAAGACTTCTAACGGTTGAAACCAATCACACTCAGCTGTGCATACCACACCTGGACCTTTTCAAGTGTCACGTTTCCAACCATTTCGCAGTGCCTAGCGCAGGCCGACTGAGTCCTGAGTCGGCCTCCACAACGTGTTCGGTGGCAGGCGGAGTTCTGTGCGAAGCACCACATCGACAAGCACCGAGTGCTGACGGAGCTGCTTCACGCGTTTGGCATCATGGCCTTCAAGGCGCGACAAGTCGTAAGAGAGGACGATGGACTCATTCTGAAGACGAACGAGTATTGAAGACGAACGAGGCCATGATCTGGAGTCTCAGGAAGACGAACGAGTATTCTAGTTAAGTTCAGTCTCTATAGTCAAGTCTATCCAACAAAATCTGCAAAGACTTGACTATATATAGAGAGTATTTACAGGGTGGACGTGGGAGAGGAAACCTGCAGTAAACCTGCAAACCAAAAGGGGCCGATCCATCTACCGATGCCCTTAACAGTAAACCAACACTTGCATGCCGACCCGTTCTAGGCCATTGCTAATTAGGCTAGATAAAATATTTTGTCTGGCACTCGTACACATGGGGAGAGACAACGGGAATTGACGGGATAATATGGGAGATTTTGGTGTTTTTGTTGCTTGGACACGGGCCACGGGTACGTCCGAAATCAATACTATCTGTATATTATATTATATAAATTTACATGATAAATTGTTGCTAGTTTTGTTGCTATTGGATCGGTTCGGTCCTGTTCCAACGTGTTCGTGTGACAGTGGTTTGCACTGCGGACATTTTCCTGCATGAACCACGAATCGCTGTTCCGCGGAGTTCGCCCTGCAAGTGTCATGCCTTGGGATCCCAGTCCAACTGGTGCAAAACAAGTCGCATATCTCCAAGTTCGAGAGAATCTCATAATTCAACTCCACGAGAATGATCAGTAGAGTTCATCCTGTTCCATTCCAACAGTTGGAGCTCCTTCCCCCCGCGCTCGTTCGTTCGCCCGTCTCCGGAGGACGGGATGTTCCACGCGGACCCCCACGCGGGCAACGTGCGCCTCGTGGTGGATCCCACCGCCCCGGGCGGCGCGAAGCCGGTGCTCTTGGCGCCTGGGTGTGGCATCAGTGTGTGTGTGTGTGTGGCAACGGCGCGATGAACGAGTTGTTTAAGAGAAATGGATGGACAGTCTGTTTTGTTCTGCAGAGTATACTATGCAGGTTTGAGATCTAATATATCCAAGCAATAGATGCAGCTGATTCCACAAAAGGAGCAGTTTCTGCCCCGATGGACCCACTGTGCGGTCAGGATTGGGGCCTCATTCGGGAGATTACAGACGCAGAGCGGTTAGGCCTGGCGAAGGCCGGAGCGAGTGGAGTGAGGAGCAGATGGGGCGACTGAAGTCACAAGCCATCATAAGGAGGTGGGAATAGAATGGAATAGATGCAAAGGGAACACGTGAGTTATGGAGTTCCAAGTTGGGATGTTTTTTGAGACAGGCGCCACGGCTTCCATTCGTTTGGGACAGGGTTTTCTCCCTGTCCCTGTGATGCCACTTCCCTGTTGCTGGCAGTCACTGGCGATGAATATCCTGCTCCTCATTCTTCCTGTTCTTCCTCCATGATTCGATCTCCCCATTTGATGTTCAAGCGGGTCTTGGAGACCCTTTTGTGCTCTTCGTGGTGCACCTTTGCTCCTTGTCTTTTTTTCTGTCTTGTGCAGGAAGGGCGAGCGACCGACTGCCTTCACAAACTGCGACCATTTTCTCACCCACTGATGCCTCCATGCCCCTGGGGAATCTTGGGGTCGCCACAAAACAAGAAGCGCCCTGTGCCTTTTGAGGACCGAACCAGTGAGTGGATCATGCGGAGATATGTGGAAGAACAACCCTCCCCAAACATTGGAATTCCTGGAAGATTTCTCGTTCAGGTCTTCCACTCCTTGGCCAACTTTGACATCGCTGCTCGGCTTGCAAACATTGATGAACGGATAAGATTTGCATACATTTGCACCTAATCCCATGCGCGCATTAGAGTGCACAAGATAATATTTAAGATAGGATAAGTCTGTATACCTCTGTATATTCTGTATTTTATATTATGTAATAAATTATGTAATATAAATACACGGGTTTCTTATTATGGTTTAGTTCTTGTTTCAAGGTTTTGTCTCAAGCACCTGACCACTTGGTGACACTTGGTGCGTGGTCTTGTTTCGGCCATTGTGTCCGCTGAAAGTGACATCCACGGAGCTGTCCCAGGCGGGGCTTTTTGATGTCCTCGAGTCCTTGGGGTTTAGCCTCCGGCAAGAGCTCGTGAACGATGATCTCAAGCGGGATCTCATTGAGAAGGCTCGAGGTGTGGTCAAGGACGGGGAGGGACGAGGTTCCGGGGGCCGTTATTTAGGACGACCGGCCCAGTTTTGGAAGGATTGGAGGCTCCAGCAAGGTTCTTTTGGACTTGAAGCTCTGGAGCTCCGCCTAGAATGATGAGCCTTCGGAAGACATATTGTGAAAACACGAAAGGTATGGAGTGTGGAATCCAACGTGTTTGGCGTCGAACCGCTCGAAGTGCTCGACGGAAATCGAAAACAAAGAAACGCTTCTTTCTCACTTGCGTAGCTTGTCATGAATGCTCAAGAGGGCCCCCTTTTGGGGATTCGACCGGAGTGGCAGCGGACATCATGTCAAAAGCTGCGGAAGCTGCGAACCACATGTTTTGAGGCTCGAAACTCACACCGGTGGTTGCTTACAGGCGTCTCCATTTCAAGAGAGCTTCTGTAGCGCAAAATGCGCAAGAGTCCCAACCTTTTAGCTGATCTCTGTCAGCTGAAGCCAATCCCTGACATTCCAGGGAGGTGTGGAATGACTTTCCTCTTTTGGCCGTCCATACGACCCTTGGTGTGTAGTCGTTTTCAAGTTCATTCTTCAGATTGACGAACCTTTGCTGGAGGGTTGCCCACTGAAAGTTGGACTTGTGCAAATCTTCTTCCGCTTCGGTGAGCTGCCTTTTCAAAAATTCAACCTTTTCAATCATTTCACTCAACTCTTCCTCCTGCGCTGTGCACTGCGCCTGGAGTTCAAAGAGTTCCGCCTCCTGATCCCTGGTGATGTCTTGGAGTCTCACATTTTCATCTCGGAAGAGGCGAATCATCTTTTCTGTCTCTACGTCGGTTTGGGTTCCGACTTGTGAAGAGCTCGAGGTGGTGGTGCTCAACTCTTTAGACCTGGTAACCGGAGGGTTCAGTGATGTAGAAACTTTGAAGCACTGCCAAATGAACATGCCGAAGAGAATGACATAGAGCGCTAGGGTCACTTCAGGGGAGAGGAGGAATGCCAAGGTCTCCTCAACTGCCATGGCTTTCACACCCATCATTTGTGAAGTGAGAACTGCAAATGCTAGCTGCTTTGAGTTGCCGGTTCTTGCAATGGCGTGTCTTCTCGAGTTTGCTTGCCTTTCTGCTTGCGACTTCTTCTTGGCCGCTTGGAAGGTCATGTCGGACTGGAGGGAAAGGCAATGAGATCGTAGTCGATCTGCAAACAACTGTCTTGCGCTGTGCTTGGTGACTCCGTCGGCGATTTGGGCTTCCGACGATACCCACTTCAGGCGGGTTTTCATTCCCACCATTTTCTGCTTTGTCACCATGACCTCGATCTTGGTGCGCTTGTCACCCTGGAGGCTAGGAGTCTGGGCCTTCAAGGAGTCGTACAGGGCCTTGGCGTCCACGACCAATGCCGAAGGCATCTCAGGAACAAAGCTATCCACCTGGCGAAGCTGAAAGTCGTAGCGGATGCAGCCTTCCCAAAAAATCAAAAGATATTCTAGAGCGTCCATTGCTGCAGATGAAGCTTGACTTTCGGCATTGAGGGAGGATCGACTGATCCGAGGCAGCTTGAAGCTGCGCCAGTCCAGGATGATATAGTCCTGAGTGGAGCCATCTTCCAGCGCTTGCTGGTTGCAAAGAAAAATCAAGTAGCCGCCCTGTGATTCGTTGTTTCTGCGCACTCCCCAAGCTGCGTCACTCATGGCTATCATGCACAACTTCTCCATATCGCCTCCAAGATCTCGAAAGATCAATGCTGTATCGCCGTTGGACTTGGCGAATCTGAGAACTTTGTTGGCCTGGGATGCTGTCTCGCCAGTTGCCGTGGTGACCTCTCCACATAGCAAAGAAACTGAAGCGCTGAGGTGTGGAGATGTCTGTGTAGCTGGCCATTGAAGTGCTCCCAACAAAGCTCGAAGACAGCTCTGCTCTTTGGAGTTGAGATTGCGATTGGAGTCATAGTCGGTGCATGTCATCGGTTTCACTCCTTTGAGGTATTCGGCTTGATGCAGCTTGGATTCCGTGGTTGTTCGACTGAGGTGGCATCCACAAAATTCAAGAGGCTTGTCCTCGGTCTCCTCAGTCCAGTGCTTGAAGTTGAAGGCATCTTTCAATTGCAGCTTGAGACTTTCGTACTCAGGGTGGCCATCTTTTCCACAACCTAGTAGGTCATCAACATGTAGACCAACCAGAGAGATCAGTTGCTTGTTGGAGTCGTGGAAGGTATAGAGGCATTGATCCAAGGCGTGAGCCCTGAAGCCAAGGTTCTCCAGGCGTCTTCGGGCGACAATGAACCACTGTCTTGGAGCGTCAGCCTGGCCATATATTGGCTTGATCAACCTCATCAAGGTTCCAGGAGCCACACCGATGATCTCGCAGGCATCTTTTGGAATCTTGGCCCACAAGGTGCGTTCTTGAGGATCTCCTTGGAGAAAAGCTGTGGACACATCGGCCGTCCATCTTCCCCAATGACTGACCTGGCTGATGGCCAGGAGCACTTGTCTTGAAGTTCGTGCCAAAGTCGGGGATGACGTGTCAAGTGATCCTTGAAGAAGGTCAGGATCGGAGAATCCTTGGAGTACGAGTCTGGCTTTTGCTTTCAAACCACCTTTTCCATCCGAAGCCCATGTCAGGACAAAGCGAGCTTTCATCACTCTGTTGTGGTCAACCGCGGTGGGATCCATCTCAATCTCCCAGACGCCATTCTCGAAGATGCTGGTCAACTCGGCTCTTTTGCCTTCAAGGAATGCGAGCCTGTCCTCCAAGGTCATGCGACGTTCGCTGAGATCAGCACTTTCCTTCACATTCTTCTTCTTGGGGATTCCCGCTCCGACCGCTTGCCAGATGTGGCCACGGCCGCGAAGAGTCTTGCAGCGCTGGAGCTTGCTGGACATGTCGCCGATGTAGAGCGAACCATACTGCCGTGCACCTTCTTGGGTGAGTGGATAAAGTGTCTTTCCAGTCCAAGCTTCATTGAAGTGCTGCTCATCAGGTGAGTTGACATAGATAGTGCGGGATCCTTTCTGCATCGACAAACCGGTGGTTGTTTGTAGAAGATCCTTGGAGATGGGGAACTGCTCAGGATGATATGTGGTTGTTCTGCCCCATACATGATTTCTGACCAGGAAACCATCTTCAAAGCCCCACCAATCCTTCGTTTCACCGAGGATGAACTCATTGTTCTTCTCGTCGTAGTGCCATCCTTCGGGAAGCTTGGTGGATTTGCCAAAGTCGAAGGAGTGGAGGTCCACTTCGATGTCTCCGGCATCTGTTTTGGCTTTCTTGCGAGCCCAGATTGTTTCTTGCTGGTCAAATCTTCTTCTTCGATCTTGGAAGGTCTCAGCCGTGCTGGGAGGCAAATAGGATGAGTCCACCATGGGAGCTGAAGCTGAGGATGAGGCTTCTGGAGGTAGTTCGGCTGGCCGTTCAAGATCATCATCCTCCGGAACTGGAGGTAGCCTTGACGGATCAGGCGGTGCCATTGGCGTTTCCATGTGTGACGGTTCATCCATAGGCTGTTCTTCATCTTCATCATCTATCAGCCTTTCCAGTAGCTGTGGTCGTCGTGTCTCTGCTTGTTCCTCTGGTTGAGGTGCCGGTTGCAGTGCTGCTGCTGGTAGCATTGCTGATGCTGTTGCCTGTGCTTGTGGTGCAATTGGTACTGCAGCAGGGGGTGGTTCTGCTGCTGCTGATGTGTGCTGTTGCTCTGTTGCTGCATGCTGTTGCTCTGAAGGTGTTTCCTGAGGAGATCCGACGGAATGTCCGTCTGATTGCACCGGAGAAGACATTGTCAGTGGTGGTGCCTCAGTGTCAGTGGGAGTGTATTCCATGTCACTGATTTCAGGATCAATCTCATCGATGGATCTTTTGTTGGACTTGCGAAGGTCGATGATTCGCACTGCTCTGCGCTGCCTCAGGTTGTGAAGAGCTTGTTGAACTCTGGAGGGTCCGTCAACCATGCCATTGTCGTTGACTAACTTCCTGACGTGCTGAGCGCCAGCCCTGAGGAGAACAGTGCCATGGGCCAACCAATAGCAAGCAACAGTGCCGGTATCAGGGTTGCGCTCGACCGCGAGGATGATGGCCGGACCTTTCCACCTAATGGTGTGCGCCTTGTCAGCAGCATCTCTCCAATAGAGACATCTCTCTCCTGGGTAGAGGTCCTCGTCCTTGCCGGTGTACCGACGAAGTAGTGCTCGGCGCAACTTGACATCAATTTCTGCTTTGCCGCACGCTTGTTGTGCTGAGAACTTCATGCTTAATTTTCGATGGAGACGTTCCTGCTCTGTCATTTGCAACTGCAATGGCCCGGTGCGTTCGTCTGAGAGGAGTCCAGGCATAGAAGGTTCTCGGCCAAGAGCAAGCTGTGCTGGCGTGAAACCATTCACGAAGGTGTTGCTGTTCATGGAGGGAACTATCCAAGCAAGGGCTTGGTGAACACCGTCGAGTCCCTTCAACTCATTCTCCATCATGAAAATGGACACTGCTTTTCGAACCAGCTGATGACGACGTTCAACGACACTGGTGCGGGTGTGAGCTTGACCGGGTGCAATTCGAAGTTCGATATCATGTTGTTCACACCAAGTTGCAGTGGCATCAGATGCCCATCCAGTGCCTTCGTCGGTGTAGAGCTGTTTTGGCGGACCGTGGAACTGAATCCATGCTCGCTCCAAGGCCTTTTGCAGAGTTGGGCCTTTTTCATCAACAACTGTTCGAGCCGCCATGTAGCGCGTAGCTACATCCACCATCACAAGCACTGCGATCTTCTTTGCACGCTGCTTTCGGTGACCTGGTTCCAAGAGCATGCCGATCTCATCCATCTCAAGCCAGAGAACATCGGCTTGCAGCTGTGCATTGAACTCTGAAGGGCGATCCAAATGACTTGGAGCGTTGCCTTTCTTGACAGAGTGGATCTCGCAGTATGGGCAATGCAAATCTTGTACAGCGGCTTGTACTGCTTTGTTGCAACCTCGATCTTTGAGCATCTTCAACAAAATTTCTTTTCGAGGGTGTCCAAGGTTTCGATGCAACCGAAGGGCGGTCCTTGCAGCTTCATGGCCATGGGTGGTGCCAAGCTTTCGAAGAACTCCAGTGAGGGCCTTGTCATCATCATGTACTGCATATACTTGTTCGTTGAGCCCCTCATTGATGAGCAAGCCATGAACCAAGGTGGCAGCTAGCTCTTGCTGGTAGTCTTCAGCTTTTCGGCATCGATTTCGACCTTCTAGTCGCTGGTGGTGATGTAGGCCATCGCACCGCTTGGACATCAACTGATACATAGCCCACTTTGTAGTCTGTAGGCGAGTGGTTTTCTTGATGGGTAACATCGAGCCGTCATCTGCTTCGGCCGTGGCGCCATAAGCGCATTGATCAAAGATCGCTCTGTGGCCGGGCAGGTTCTTGAAGTTCCTGGTGTCCCACGCTAAGCTCCATGCAGGGTGCTCCACATGTGCATGATCTCCTCGGCGGACTTGCTTGTAGTATAGCTTCTTGCACATTGCCAGATGAGTGGCGTGATCGACTTCTCGCCGTTCATGGAGATCGTGTGCTTGTACTTCGTTGTGGATGTTCACCTGTTGCATGCGAGACCACAAGGTGCATCTTGGGGACATGAAAATTTCGTCGGGCTCCAGGTCGTCACATAGACGGAGAAGTTCTTTTCGGTGAGATGCTTTGCTGAAGTCCCACCCATCCTGGAGTCCGAAGCGCATGACCTCAACATCGCCGTGGTCCTTGAGCAGTTGGGAGATCATGCCTTCACCAGCGTAGACTTCCCAGATCAAGCGCTTTCTTCTGGCCAAACCGTGTTCTCGGGCGTGGTGGATCTGCTGTTTTAGCCATTTTCCTTGGTCAGCGCTCTGGGCTTCAAACATGGTGAAGAGCTTCTCAAGTTGTTCAACTGACCTGGTGGAGGCTTCCGGAGGGATTTCCACCGTTTCTTCTTGGTCCACTTCCATGTAGGTGGTGTCCTGCACATAGTCACCCTTTTCACATGCCTCGCAGTAGGCATTCACTTCAGTTGTCATCTCAAAGAACCGTTCATGAGCATTGAGGTCCTCGAGGAAGTCATGGATCTTGAGGGCGTGCTGATGGTCGTCTTCACAACGTAGGTCGAAGTTCACGGGTTTGAAGTCCGTGTAGTCATTCACTTCCTCAGCCAGGCGAAGAAGCATGGCTCCCTGACGGCCTCTTGGGATGTCCCGCCAGGGTTCTTGCTGAAGAAGGCGCATTTTGCCTCTGCCAAAGTCAACCTCCGCTTGAAGAGCTTCAAGGAGAGGTCGTCCAAAGAGCATCGGAGTTGCTCCATAGATCACATAGGCCTGAAGATGGCCTGAAATACCCGCCAGGCGGGTTGGGAGTTCAACCATCCATCTTGCGTGACCAACGGCGTCACCTCCAAAGCGGAATGACTTGTCACATCGTTTGAAGGCGATGTCTTCCATGGGGTAGCCGATGAGCTCAAGCCATTTCAAATAGCGAAGGATGTACTCGCTGCCTGCCAGGAAGGACGAGGCTCCTTGATCTTGAATGCACATGTCGGGTTCGTGAGTGAGCCAGCCACCGGCCCTGACCAAGGTCTCACCTTGTGTGTAGGCCTCCTCAACGTCATAGAAGACCTCAGGATCATAGGAGTCCTCAACATCATAGGAGTCCTCAACATCAAAGAACTCTTCATGGTCATAGGGCTCGGAGATGTGAAGTGCCAAGTGCACCATGGCGTCATCTTCTGCTGGCCTTTTCTTCGGGGAGCTGGAGCCTGTTCTCTGAGATGTCGGGCAGTTGGCAGCGGCTGAGCGAGCTCTCGCCTTGCCGCTTGGGCCTTTTCCGGCCGTGGAGGTCTTGCCTTTCGAACCTTTGGAAGGTGATTTGGACTTTCCAGCACCTTTCGACTTGCCCTTGAAGGGAGACTGAGCCATCACAGGTGCTTGTCCACCTTTTCCGCCATCCATCACTGCGACAACCGGGTAGAATCCTCTGCTCTGACGAAGTTGGTTGAGGCGGTTCTTGGCGTCAACATAGGTGCTGTACACTTCATCAAATTCTTGGGTGTCGAACATCGAGTCCAAATCATCGGGTTCGTCATGGTAGTAGGTCTCATCGGGCTCATATTCTTGCCATTCACCAACAGGTTCCTGGGTCTCGATGTCATACTCATGGGCGTCCTGGTAGAAGACGTCATCATCTTCATATATCTCTTCATTCTCTTGGTCGTCCTCCCAAAAGACCTGCTGTCCTTGCCGCTTCCAACGACCAGTCATCTGCGGCTTTCGGAGGTGTGCTGGTACATGAACATGGCGATGATCTTGACCAAGGATGAGGTATAGGGCTTGTTCAACGGACGGTAGAGTGAGCGATGATCCAACATGAGTTTGAATCAGCTGTTCTTGCTCCTTGGTCAGCCCTGCACGTTTCACCATCATCCAGCCAGTGATCTCTTCCGGGAGGTCGATCCTGTGTTTGGAGATCTGCCGTAGGGTTTGGTGGAACTCTGTGACATATTCGAGGATCGATTGATCTCTCTTGCGCCGCATCTTGAAGAAAAAGTTCTCGAAGTGGGTAGGCATCTCTACTTTGGAGTCGTAGGCCCACTGTTTGTCCAGGCGCTTGAGCAAGATGTCGAGTCCACCTTCCTTCTCGAGTTCGCTCAAATCCAGGTCCTCGCACTGAGTCCATGAAGGACCTTCCAGCACTGACAAAATGTTCAGCGCGACTTCGGCCTTGCGACCTTGGATTTCCATCTTTCGGGCATACAGCTTCACTCTAGTTCTCCACTCTAGGTAGGAGGTGGTGGTGTTCTCAAAACGTGGTATGAAGCTGTCCTTGTAGTCCTTGCCGGTGCTTCCGGCGCCATTTGCCGCCGATCCAGCTGGAGGTCGTGAGGTTCCGCGCTCATGGCTGGACATGGCTGCACGGTCGCCGGAGCCCGCCGTTTTAGGCAGGCTCCGCTACCAATGTGAAAACACGAAAGGTATGGAGTGTGGAATCCAACGTGTTTGGCGTCGAACCGCTCGAAGTGCTCGACGGAAATCGAAAACAAAGAAACGCTTCTTTCTCACTTGCGTAGCTTGTCATGAATGCTCAAGAGGGCCCCCTTTTGGGGATTCGACCGGAGTGGCAGCGGACATCATGTCAAAAGCTGCGGAAGCTGCGAACCACATGTTTTGAGGCTCGAAACTCACACATATGAAAATCATATGAAGACTACATGCTTTTTGGAACTCCCAAGGGATGTGATCTGCGAGATCGCTTCATCGAACCTCTATCGTCCGGACCTCGTCCTTGAGGACACCATCAATCGGCACAAGACCCGAGAGAACGCGCGGGAGGAGTTGGCAGAGTTTAAGGCTCGGTTAAACCGAGCCAAAGAAGACGCTGGGATGGAAGGCTCTATGTCTCCGATCTATTTCTTGGAGGAGCGAGGCAGCCACATGATACGACATGACAGGAATCCTGAAAAGTTGGAACTCGGATCATGAAGAGTTATCCAATATTGAATTTGCTCTTTTGTAAGGCTTGGATTGGTTGGAGCAGGCAATGCCTTCAAGATATCTTCCTTTTGAAGTGCTCGAGCCTTTGACCGACATGTCCCTTGTGCAGCGTTTCTCCAACTGCTATCATCAATCATTTACGCCTCATCGAATCAAAACTCCGGAGAGCTACTATGGAACAACATTCATTTGGAATCCAAAGTAGCAGTGTGTAACAGTATGTAGCATCGTTGTTACCCTTGTCTCTGAAGGAATCTTGAGGCAAACCGTGCATCACCGTACATGACATCCAGTACGCTGCTCGTCCACCAGAACGTAGGACTGGCCCCGTTGCATCATCTTCTTCATGCGAATGCTGCAAATCTTGCGGGGGCTTTGTGTGGCTGTGGATGCTGAAGGGATGCCTTTGTTGCAGATCTTCTCCAGCCATGCGCGGGAGGCCTTGCAGGAAGGCTCCAGGCCCGCTGGCAGAGCCGTTGTGGGAGCTTTGTTGGTGTTTCTCAAAATTAACATGACAAGAGACCTGAGATGAAATTGACACACCAGCACTCCTTTTGAGGTTCCATTTTTGGACCATACAGCTTGGAAGCTTAACCCGATATACAATAATATATATATATATATTATATGTTAATATAGTTATATTGGTTAAGTTAAGTTTGTTATATTTGTTATATCAGTTGATTGGTTATATTTATTTGACGAAGGTGCAATCAATTAGCATTTCCCAAACCCGAGGCAACAATCGGACAAAAAAGCCTTCTCCAAAGTTCAAACACATTGATGCTTAAACGAGACACGTTGAACCAATGAAAACACAAACAACGAGAAAAAGCACTGTTGAGACCAACTTGTTGTAGGGAGTTCTCCAGTTTGGACTTCGATCCCTTGACGCAACTTCACCACCAAGACCCTTGCCGCAAGACATCCCTCTTGAAGAACCTATATTATATAGTTTACAGTAATGTCCAATGCCGTCCAGAAAGGCGGGGCTTGATTTGTTGGACAAGGATTTTTGGAATCAGGTCATGGTCCTATTCCGCATGGTATCTCATGGATCAGGCAAAACGGAATCTCATGGAATCTCAACAAAAGCAGATCCTCTTCAATTAATATAGCGTTGTGTTTCTTTTTTTTCAATCAGGCAGTTGATATGTTTTTGGTGAAGATTTGCTAAAACAATCCATTTAGTTTTCTGTTGTTAGTTTTCTGTTTCTGCTTGGATGCGGGAACGAGTCAGGCGGCAGATGCTGTCCAGCAGCCTGAAGATCTTCGGTGGCTCCTCGGGAATCATTGAGGAGACGCAGACACCCTTCAGTCCTAAGGCCGGCATCGTCTGGCCAGAGGACGCTACGAACGGGGCTCCTGGCCTTACTACTACGAGCAAGGACGCTACTAGGAGTCCAGTCTGAGTCCTTTAAGTTTGAGTGGCTGGAATGGGAATCTCTAGAGACATGGAAAGTGATGAACCATGATGAAAGACCCATGCTTCCTCCATTGGCTCAGACCGGCCCAACGTGACCTTTATTTTGTGGAATCAACCTCCATGTACAACAGTATCCAAGGATTGATTTGCCAATCTATATAATTACCCCAGTTCTTCAAAACGTGTTGTAGGTGTTTACTGCTATATGTGTACTTCAAGTGAACACTAAAGGTTCCCCAGTTTCAAATCTTGGAGATTGGTGGGTGGAACTGGCACTATTGCCGTATTGCCAGAAACCTGTAACTGTGTTAAGTCGCACGGGCTTCAGTCAAGTCATGTAGTGCTTGAGTCAGTCGCCTGCGCTTCATTCTTCCAAAGGCCATGCCTCCGACAACTCCCTGCGAAGCATGTGCCCGCGGGGGTTCAATCTTTTGGGGTGATTCTTCGCAAGTGTGGTGACTCCACTTTGCTTGGCTAGACACTCCTGCGAGTGAATGCACAAGTGAGGCCGACATACACAAGTGGACAAGTGAATGCACAAGTGTTGGCTGAAACTTAAAGGAATTGACGGAAGGGCACCACCAGGAGTGGAGCCTGCGGCTTAATTTGACTCAACACGGGGAAACTTACCAGGTCCAGACATAGTAAGGATTGACAGATTGATAGCTCTTTCTTGATTCTATGGGTGGTGGTGCATGGCCGTTCTTATATAGTTGGTGGAGTGATTTGTCTGGTTAATTCCGTTAACGGACGAGACCTTAACCTACTAAATAGTTACATGTAAGAGGGTATTTGTTTGTCTTTTGTGGTGTGCATGTGAGGCCAGTGAGAGTGTAGGATATGGATGGATATGGCATGTTATGGGGCTTGCTCCTGTTGATGGGCCAGTTGTACTTTTCTCCTCAGAAGTTGAGATTTTGCGAATCCAATCAAAGAAAACATAAGAAGACGTTTGTTTTCGAGTGGATTGAGGATTTGGGGCGCGGTGGGAAGTCCGTTCATCTCTATACAGGGTTTTGTCTCTTGTGACTGACTCTGATCACTTCTACAAAATGAGGGAATGACTCCATGACCCTAAACCGCAGCCCGATTTTCATGCAATGATCATTACATTCCTCTACTTTGCGGACTGCCAGAACCCACATGAACCCACTACCCTCATCGCCAATGGTACTCCAGCGCTGCAGGCGCCCGTCAAGCCCGACCCCACCTTGGTGGCGCGCCTCAGGCAGAAGCTGTCGGAGCTGCAGCCGGGGGGCTCGGCATGATCTTGACCTGCCGCAAGTCCATCCAGAGCTGGGCTCATCCTCAGAAGGATCAAAGAGACACTCCATGCGGTCCATGCATGGAACTTCTACTTACATTGACACACTGACACCACAATAGACATTGATGATCATTGATGCATCGTCCTGATGTCGGCAGCGACGAGAATGTCTCGAACCACGGGTGAGAGCTCAAGGAGTAGCTGAAACATGTTGAACATCCTTGAAATATCTTGGACATGTGTTTTGTTTTTCGACTGCCCTCTCCCTCTTCAGACCTCTCATTTTCCTTGCCTTTGCATGAAATTTGTACGACTTTGGCTCAAGTGGGATTCCGTGATCTTTGAACGATTCATGGATCAGCTTGGAAGTGACATCATCCCCACGCACATCACCAGATCTGCTCCGAGGTCGAAGCGGCAGCTGGTGGGTGCCCAAGTGGCGGTGGTGAGGGGTGGCGAGGTCATTTGCAACTTGGCACATGGCACGCTGCTTGGCTGGAGTGGAGTGATCAATGCACCGGTCAAGAGACCACTTGACGCCGGGATTTGGGGGGACCCGGTGTCAAAGCTGTGGTGATCTAGAGTCCGCAACGATATGCTGGGATACTGTCAGTAGAACAGTGTGTATATAGTATACGGAGCCGGGTTTTGTTGCAGGCGTGTTTCTTCTAAATGAATGCGGCAGTTTTGGTCTACCAAGAGCTCCCAGTACCGTGTAGTCCCGCGGGCAAGAGCTCCCAGTACCGTGTAGTCCCGCGGGAGCACCCTCTTGCACTTTCGGTTGAATGGAATTGCATGACTTCAAAACTTTAGTTAGCCATCAGTTCAGTCAAGATTGCATACAACAGTATACAAAAGTAATATATATGTTCTCATACACCATTGTTAAAAGGGGATTTCAGGAGCAATGTCTGTAGTTGGTTGGTCCAATGAACAGAAGCAACCGTATCTTTTTGCTCAAAGCACGACAGCTCTTTATGCCCGCAGTTTGCGTGTGTTGTGAAGTTTGGTCGGTAGAAGTTAAAGAAGTTGACGAGTGCGGCGTTTGCCACGAACTTCACCGGTGACTGCGAAGCCTGAGTTCTGGGAACGGGACTTCAGGTGGCTTAGAAGGGTGCCAGCCGAAGGTGCAGGAGGGTCTCCGCCAGAACCCCTGGCCGACTCTCCCAAAGCCATTTTAAGGTGGAATCATCGCAGTCCAAAGGAGGGAAGAAGGAAGAAAGGAAGCAAGAAAGGAGGAAAAGGTGGGAAGGACACCAAGGTGTCCCAAAGCAATCGGGTTCCTCCGTCTTGAAGGCTCAGGCAAAACCTGAACCAAAGCCACAAGTGGCCAAGAAGAATAAGAAGGAGAAGGAGAAGGAGAAGCCGAAGAAGAACAAGGGCTGGAAGCGGCTCACCTGGTACGGCGCCTACCTGATTAGCAAAGGCGAAGGGTGCGGCAAAGAAGTTGAGGAGGACGAGAACTACGAGGAAGAGTCGGAAGCTGAAGAAAGTGCAAAGATAGCCCAAGCCGTGGACGATCATTCAAGGTGGTGGGCGGATGCTGAGGAGGCCAGCAGCTAGAGTTAGGCCGGCGGCAGGACCGGCGCGAGTAGTAGTAGTAGTAGTAGTAGTCGTCGTCGTCGTCGTCGTCGTCGTCGTCGTCGTCGTCGTCGTCGTCGTAGTAGTAGTAGTAGTAGTAGTAGTGGTGGTAGTCGTAGTCGTAGACGTAGTCGTAGTCGTGGTGGTAGTCGTAGTCGTAGTCGTAGTCGTAGTAGTAGTCGTAGTCGTCGTCGTCGTCGTCGTCGTCGCCGCCGCCGCCGCCGTCGTCGTCGTCGTCGTCGTAGTCGTAGTGGCAGTAGTATTAGCAGCAGTGGTGGTGGTAGTGGTAGTGGTAGTGGTAGTGGTAGTGGTAGTGGTAGTAGTAGTAGTAGTAGAAGTAGAAGTAATAGTAATAGTAGTAGAAGTAGGAGTAGGAGTAGGAGTAGGAGTAGGAGTAGGAGTAGGAGTAGTAGTAGTAGTAGTAGTAGTAGTAGTAGTAGTAGTAGTAGTAGTAAGGAAGTAAGGAAGTAAGGAAGTAAGTAAGTAGGTAGTAAGTAAGTAAGTAAGTTAAGGTAAGTTAAGGTAAGGTAAGGTAAGTAAAGTAGAGTAAAGTAAAGTAAGTAAGTAAGCAAGTAAGTAAGTAGTAGTAGTAGTAAGTAGTAGTAAGTAGTAGTAAGTAGTAGTAGGTAGTAGGTAGTAGGTAGTAGGTAGTAGGTAGTAGGTAGTAGTGGTAGTCGTAGTAGTAGTAGTAGTAGTAGTAGGAGTAAGAGTAGGAGTAAGAGTAGTAGTAGTAGTAGTAGTAGTAATAGAAGTAGAAGTAGTAGTAGTAGTAGTCGTAGTCGTAGTGGTAGTGGTGGTGGTGGTGGTGGTGGTGGTAGTAGTAGTAGTATGTAGTAGTTGTAGTAGTAGTAGTAGTAGTAGTAATAGTAGTAGTGGTAGTAATATAAGTAGAAGTAGTAGTAGTCGTAGTGGTAGTGGTAGTGGTGGTGGTGGTGGTAGTAGTAGTAGTAGTTGTAGTAGTAGTAGTAGTAGTAGTAGTAGTAGTAGTAGTTTTTGTTGTTGTAGTAGCTGTAGTCGTCGTCGTTGTCGTCGTCGTCGTCGTTGTCGTCGTCGTCGTAGTAGTAGTATTAGTTTTTGTAGTTGTAGTAGCTGTAGTCGTCGTCGTTGTCGTCGTAGTCGTCGTAGTAGTAGTAGTAGTTGTTGTTGTTGTAGCAGTACTAGTAGTCGTGGTAGTGGTGGTGGTGGTGGTGGTTTTGGTGGTGATGGTAGTGGTAGTTGCGGTGGTGATTTTACTAGTGGTTAGTAGCAGTACTCAATAGTCCTACAAGGGTGTCCCACAAGAGAGTAACGCACCGGAGTGTCCCACGAGTTTTCCGCAATAATGTCCTGAAAGAGTGTTCCACGACAAGAGTGTTGCATGAGAATGCTTAGAACAATTTTGCGACAAGAGTGTTTTGCAAGAGTTTTCTTGCAGAGTTGTCCCACAAGAGTGTCTTACAAGTGTCCTACGAGAGTGTCACACAAGAGATTTATAAGAGTTACAAACAAGAGTCCCACAAACGTTACACACAAGAGCGCCCCCCAAGAGCGTCTCGCAAGAGTGTGTTCTACCAGAGTGTCCCACAAGAGTGGCCGACAAGAGTGTCCCACAAGAGTGTGTCCCACAAAGTAGTGTCTTACAAGACTGTCCCGCATGCATCAATATATAGGTGCCTTTTTGTTTGCGCTTTTCCTAAGACCGGGCCACCAGTGAGGCTTTCCACCATCGACGCGCGCTTGGTGAATGAGCACACTCGCTTTCCCCTGCTGGGCGCCACTGCCGGTCTGGCTGGGCCGGGTGACCAAGGGCGCGACGGGCATGGAACTAAAAAGGAAAAACCATGCAGCATGCACAAAGAGCTTTCTTGGAAGGACTCAACCATTCACAACGTCAACCATTGTACTTCGATTCAATATTACCATGATGAACACAGGGTATAATCCATGGTGAATCCAAATATATAATACATTCTAACATTGGTATTTCTTTTTGGGTCTTGAGAAAAGGACGGCTGGTCTTCCGGTTCGCCCATGTCACCCTCGCCCCAGGCTGGCGTTCCTCCGGGCGCTGCGCCGGAGGAGCCAGGAGCTGATCGAAGCCACGGGAGATGCGCCACGGTGGCCAACGTGCGCCATGCGCCCCGGGGGGGGGATTCGTCGATTAAACTGGTCCGTGACAGCTTCTTGTAACACCATGTAGCACCAGTTTCTTGTGAAACCAGATTCTTGTGAAGCCAGGTTGAGTTCTGTCCACTGGAAAAAAACAGGAACGGCTGGTCAGGATTGTGTTCAGGTTTGAACAAAGATCCGCCGGAGCTTGATTCATGCGCCCAGCCACCTTCCTCATTACATTGGCTAATCGTGACCTTTGTTCCCCAGAGTGAAACCAAGAAACTGAGGAGAATTGATCCTAGGATGTTTTAGGGGAGTTCTGGTGTCAAGGAAAGTAGGACACTGTGACATCGGGTGACATAAGAGCATGAGAGCAAGAATCGTCTACACTTAAGTACTACTTGAAAGACTCTTGGTAAACTTTGCTACACTGAAGTATGCCCTGCTGTTGAGCGGGGTGACAATCCATGTTTGTTTTTGCATGTCATTAAATCCAAGGCAAGGTCACCGAGAAGAGGCTTGTTTTTGTTCAAGGAAACTTCTGAAAGGAGACAAAGCAGGAACGATTGTATATACCATCCACAATTTTGAGCAGTCAACTGAAGAACCCTGTACACACAAAGCACTTTCATGTTTGGACTTCAGCATCAACAGGACATTCAAATTTCGCCTTGACGCTTTTGCGGCTAAGGTTACCATGAAGCCAGAGAATGTGCTCAGAAAGATGTTGGTGTCGTTACCCGACTCATTTGTTCAGAACGATTGGCCGCGTGTTTTTTGTCCTTCCGCTTCTTTTGGTTTGCCTGGTTTCCTGATTGTACGCATCGATTATATAAGTTAATGATCAAGATTGATCGAGGTATATACATTTGTAAACTCGACACTCCCTGGAACTCACATGGAAGTGGAAAATGCTCCTTGGAGGCACATGTTCGTGAAAATTGCAGGTTGTCCACTTCCATGTGACTTCCAGAGTCACTGAGTCAAGACCTCATTTCAGTGACTTTCAAATCGGGACGAGGCGTGGGGCACGAAGGCGTGGGGTGGGGGGGAAGCCACCAACCGAGAAGTCCGGAGTGTTCGGTGTCCGCTCGGCGGACACCGCGGTGACCCGAGGCAGCTTTGGCCAAGGCCGGGAGGGATCGCCACCTCTGTTGGGGTCCATGGCTTGCAGGTGACCAAATGGGTCACTCTATCACTCTGGACGAAATCCGACAAATTTAAGTAAAAGTGTACTGTTCAGTTCCACCATTTGTACTTCCATGCCATACCAGTACAGTATAGATTTATGCACTAAGAAGGTTATTTGAGGACACCGATGCTTTCACATCAGTTCAGTTCATGAAACTTTGCACAAGAAGTCCTAACACATACGCCTCTCTCCGCCAATCCTCTCTCGCCACTGATCCCAGCTTCTCCGGCTGCAATCCGGACATCACCTTGGCCGACGTGCTCAGCCACCGCATCGGCTTGCAGGCGTGGACCAAACATCCGTAGCTCAAAAGGTGTCATGAATGTCACTGGATTCACTATGATTCATTGAGGCAATTGTTGGTGTTGCGTTCAAAGGCCGCTTTAAACTGCTTTCAACAGCCCAAAGCAACTCGCAATCGATCCGAAAGCTCTTCCATGCAGTGGGTTGCCTGAGGGAAGATATGTACCCGGCCCAAGCAAAGGATTCATAACTTCTCCCAACTGGTTTGCAATAGTTCATTTCTGTTGGCTGCTGGCTAAAACTGGTGTGTGGTTCTAAGATGCTGTATATAAATACAATTGAAACATAGTATATTGCATACTAACAACCATGTTCGGCCGTGTGATCAGTTGCGCCATGCCATAAATGCTAAGTAGAGGGACCCTCCCAATACATTAGGTCACTAGGGAGACCCGCCTCCATTCACAGCAGGGCGGCCCGATGCAGTTTCTTCGGGATCAGGCAATTATACGAATAGTATAGGAATGTATATATATATATATATAGTACATCACATGCACATATAGTACATATTATGTGTCCATATGATATGTCCATGTATTTCCCACATGTAGAAAGACCTCCCCCTTCGAGTATTGGTGGAGTTCTTGCGAGGGAACAAAGCGATGATGTGAGGAGCACATCCCGAAGTCCGGTTCACGCCACGAGGGTGCTTGATGTTTGTCGTCCCAGTTTTGGGGGGCCCGGCAGCCCCACGTTTGTTTGGTACGGTATCGCGTTTTCCTAAAGATGCATTGTATATATACCAGGACCCTCCAACAAGGGGTGCCCTGTCTGGAAGCCTATACAGTAGGTAGTGTGGGGTAGTCCATTGGACACCCCTTGGAGGGTCCAGCTATGTTCAATTGTGTTCACTTCAATGATTTTAAAGTGCTTCTAATGTGGAGATCATTGAGTTTGATCTGTTTGCTTCGATGCAACAATGAAGAACATCCTGCGCACATGCAAAGTCATTTTTTGTCCGCCGATCCCACTGCTTCGTTTGTGGAGAGGATGCCTTTCCGCCCGACTTCACCCAGAGCTCACTGGATGATTTGAATGGAATGGCCAGAGTCTGAGGCTTTGATAGGCTTTGCAGATCCTGGGCTCGGTGGGGTGACGGTATTTTGGAGCCGCCGGGCCCAAAGGAATCCCCTGAGATATGTGACCTCGACCATCCATTGAATCCGTTTCCGCCAGAGCAATTGTGGCTGGGCTTGGTATTTTGCCAAGGAGGTGAAACACGAGCTGCGGATCCAGGATCCATCCCCCATGACTCCTGGTGACAACAATGTTGAGAAGAAAGGTTGGTGTTTATTTACATGTGTTTACAAGTTACTTAGATGTTCAATGTCACTTGCTTCGCAACTGTCATGGATTTGCTTCAAGACAACAACTGTGCCCTTTCCACATGCTCATGGAATCGCAAGGACTGACACGAGAGGTTTCTATGATTTTTTTTGTTTTTTTTTTTGTGGGGGGGTTCCATTTCAATCCTGGGACGATGAGTTTATATTGGAAGACACCATCTCCGCAGGGTGCTGAGATCACCGGTCCGGTCCTGCGGACCGGATCGGTGACGGGACCGGTGCCGGGGAGGTCGGTTCCCCCAACCTCGCGTCCGTGACGAACGGCCTCGTTGAGTTAAGCAGCTATCCATGGAACGCATCCAACAGGAACGAAGATCTGCTGAAAGAGATCGGCCAAGCTAGCACAATGTCTTTTTCTGGATTTGTGTGGTTCCAATCAGCGCCATGGTAAATCTCAAACGGTTGGCGGGACAGAAGCACAATAATATGCAATCGTGGCTGCCTGGCTGGCCCTGTGAGATGTTTGTTGACCATTGAAGTGATCGTGGATCTATCTTGGAAGCAACACCTTGTACTCAACATTGGTTTTGGCAATTTCGTTGCCCTTGCTTGTTGGGGTCTTGACATGGGGTATTTTCCCAGTGTTTTTATTTTGTTTGGTCGACCGCTGAGTAGTTTGAGGCGTCCGGGACTTGTCACTGCCACATCTCGTGCCACTCAGGTCGCTCATTTGGAACAGGAGGCTCTGAAGGTCACCGAAGACTCTCACTATGCCTACATCCTCCAGGCGCAGTCGGACCGCAGGATGTGGACCGCAGGACGTCCGTGGAGACCGCGAGCGTTCCGAGAGAGACATGGCGTTCCGAAATCAGATGGTCAGAAGCGTTAAGATCTGAGGTCTTGAAGGGGGCCGCCAAGTCGCTAGCGATGGAAGCAAGTTGGGAAGAATTGGAGTAAGATGTGAGGTACGTGTCATGCACGTGATGCTGCAGCCTCTCGAATAAGATAGCAAGGAAATATCAAGAACCTCGAGCAAAAGCTTGACCACAATTACCTTGTGCACAGTGGCACAGTGGAACCACAAAAAGCGACAGCTTTTGAAAGGGAAACGCCGTCATTTGTGGTCAATCTCCAGGTCGTTAATTGTGAGCATGACCTCTGAATGGAATCATATTAAGCAACAAAACGTGACGTCAACAATCACATATTTTAGTACGGTAGTGAGAGCTAGTGGCAATTGCATCCTCCAGAAACACAGGTTTTTGTCTCGAAATGAGGCGCACACACACACACACACACGACCTTTGCTCAGTAGGCAAGCTCTTTTTGACTTTCAGGCTCAGTGAGAGGTGACACTGCAAGCCACAAGACATGTCCTTGCGAATTCCGTGAGTCCCCAGCACTAGCAATTTCTAAAACCTTTAGTACCCTTAGAGAAGAACCCTCTTATCACTCTCTCATCATCTCAGAACTCCCTGAAACCCCAGATCGGTCCCCAGAACTTGTCGCGCCAGTCCTTCGTCTTGGCGAAGCTGGGGAGCTGCATCGGGGAGCAGGACATTTTTTCGTGACAAGTCATGGGCAATGCAAAACACCTGCATATAGACACTGCTTCGACAAATAGCACTATCTTGAGATCCGGGTAAGTCCAGTCTTTTGAGTCGTGCAATTTCTTGTTCAGACATGGTGGTATGTTTGTGGCAGTACCCTTGTTAAGTTCTGTCAGCTGTCAGCACTTACTTCATGATGCAGTGCGCAACATGCTCGCTTCTGAAACCACACCTTCGCTGAGCATTTTGCACTTGTGGTCTCTCACTCGACAATCTCACGCTAGCCATGGCACCTCGCAACTCC